CTTTTTGAAATCTAGGGGATGTTGCATTTATTTTATTTTTCTTTTACATTTTCAAAGAAATGAATCAGGGCTTGATAGGATATTTAAAGTCATCATTCAACTCTGCATCTTGCGAATTTGCTAAATTATCTATGATTGGTATTGATGCTATTCCTTCTTAAAGACTGTAGATGATTTTTTTTTCTTTCCAGCTTTCCAGCAAGGAAATCTTCTACCCATCATCATTTGTCAAATCAAAAATGCATTTTGGCTGATTAGCTGCCTCCCTTTTAACCAATTAAAGATAGACCAATTTGCATATTATGATAATCTCAACCTACAGACTAGAGTTGAAATGCTGAGGAAGTATATAATTTTATATTTCATTTTAAAGATACTATTTCTTATAATTTTATTTGGTAATCCAATCTGGTACATACAAAATCAAAGTGATCTGAATCTCATGGGCTTCAAAACAAATATCTGAGGGTAGAGATGAAGAATTGGGCAGGAATATGTTGATGGGCCTTGATTCTATTTCTTCCTTCCTTCCCCTGGCAGCAAAGACCAGACAGCAAGCAATACTTTTAGCAGCAGGTTAGATAACAGAACAGTAGGAAGCTCATTCAAGCTTGCATGTCCTGGAGCTCCAACTGGAGCTCAGTTTCTTAGTCTTAATCTTGTCTCCTCCTTAAGACATTCCCACAAGTCTGGAACTATGGGGATAAATCAGTGGGAAGTGAGGAAAACCTCACATGTGCCATATGCTTTGGCCTAACAATATAAAGGAAACTAATTCTTGGGATCCCAATGAAACCAGAGTCAGTTGTTATTAATATTTGTGCAAGAGAAAAAGTATTTGCAAATTTGAGGACAGAGACAAAGTTGTCTATAGCAACAGTGGCTACAAAATGGTGGATGTGAATAAGATGTCCCACCCCTTTTTAACATTCTAATATAAAGCATACACCCTCATTGGCTTATACATCAGATCAATTTGTATGATTAAAAGTACCAGGGCTATGATTGACTATTAATGAAGCACAATGTACTAGTGACAATGGTTAAATGCCTTCAGATTAAGCGGCCTTCTGAAATTTGAATGTGTCCTACAATGTACACGGTCCTTTTCCTACCTTGTAACTTAGCTAAAAATGACTTGCCTCATCCCTCAGAAAAGGAATCCTTCCTATCATGTTATAGTGCTTCTGTTCCTTGTGTTGGGATAGAGCAGTGAGGCCTGAAAGTGTTGTAATGCTACCATTATATTATTTATCATTCTGATGTAAACAACAACTTTAGTGAATGGAGGAATGGAAAAAACTTTGGAGAAATATATCCCTTATCTCAAGGGCTTCAGAAATATAACCAAGAACTTGGGGTTAGAGATGGGAATGGTATCCATAAACCAGCTTAGTACTGCTACTGGCCATAGAAATTTAGCTTAGTTCCTTTAAGAAAGGAAGCGAAGATAACATATTATGTTGATATTGGACATTGGTTGGTTGCTCAAGACCTGAATTGTGGCAATGTTTTATTGAACTTTTGACTGGCGTGCACACATGCACATGCCTTCTCTACAAAAGAGCATCTTCTTCAATCATTTGCAACCAACTTTAAATTTCTTGTTACTCCTCTCAAGTGTGAGAGCACATTTCGATATAATTTGCTTCCTTGTAAGAGGCTGTATTAATATATTTCCATGATAGAAATGCTGATTTTTATTAATCATAAATTATTTTAAGCACTGTATTCTCCCTCCATCAAACCAAGAATATTCCCCTTCAGCAAATTTATGTTAATCTTACTCAGAGTACAGCCATTGCTGCTACAAAAACCATGAATGCGCTTATCAAAAAGTGTTTGAAAGCTCAAATTTTAGAAATTATGACTATATAATTAATTTTGCTGCCAAGTGTCTATTAGCAACGGGATAAGGGTATGTGTTAATTGGAAGTGACAGGTGATAAAGCAGTTAATGTGCTATGATCAAAGTGGCTGAATTACAAGATTGTGTAGCCTCTTGTAACTTCCTTGTCATTAGCCTGCTGTAATCATGGAGCATGGTGGACGGCCATAACATGGAAATGGATATGCTGATGTCATTAACAATCAGCCCTTGTGAAATAAGAGTCTCACCCAGAGCAAAAGTCTTTATGCTGAGTACAGTTACAAGTTCTACGGAGGGAAAAACCCGACAAGCATCCAAAGCCAGAATAGTAAGCTTTTTAAAAAAAACTAAAACTCTCAATTTATTTTCAGTATGCAGAGATCTTGAGAATGCTATCCTTGGCAAGCACGCATCATGCATCATTTTAATGCAATCTTGAATAAGCATGAATGACCATGTTGCTGCTACACCTGCCTACCTGATGCATAGTAAACTGATTAAGCTGCTGGAAGCTATCTCAGGGTTTTGGGGGGAGTTAGGCTTATGGTCCTAGAGGGCTTTAATCTGCTGTCCCTGATTTGGCTTCAAAAGCAGCCCAATAGTTTGTGGCTCTCGACGTATCCCAGATCATTTCAGGCCCTACTTAAATAAATAATGGTCAGATTCCGGATAGGAGTTTCCTGTCAGAGCAGTGTCAACAAGATATGGAATGGGGAGCACAGTAATGTGCTAGTTCAACTCGCTAATCCAAGGCTAGTTCCAAAAAGTGTTAATTGGGAGTGAGACATGTTGACAGATGGCATTGTTTGAACTTGTGGATGATGTCTGGTAAGATTGGGATGGAGAAGTGGAAACACCTTCTTCTCTGTGACATGGCTCAATGCCTTCAGAGGATGGGAATGAGGACTACAGTATTGTGCTAGTTCAACTCCTGATTGAAGTAAATGATCTGGACCCCTTCTTGTAGGGTTTCAAGCCAAGTTATCTGAGGGACAGGGAAAAAGACAACCCTGTATGCACTTATGGATGATCTATGGGGAGATTGGCATTGGAGTAGTGCAACCATCCTTCTTCTCCTTGATTTTTCATTGGCTACAGGAGATGGGATGTCTCTTGGGACCGGTCCCATGGCCGGTCCCAAAAGACATTTGTCCAGTGTCCACCTCAACCTTCCAGAACAACTGGTGGAAAATGTGGTTGCCTCGTAGCTCCAGAGGTTGTTGGTTGAAATGAATGATCTGGACCCCTCAATGTATGATTTGGGGCCAGGATATGGGAGACAGATGGCATTGTTAGCACTTGTGCATGATCCCTCGCAAGAGTGGCAGTGGAG